AGTGCGGAGGATCAGGCCACGGTTACGCGAGACAATGGAGCCGGCCATGGCGGCGACGACGACGTAGACGCCCCCGGGGAGGAGGCGCTCGCCCGACTCGGGCGAGGGGGCCAGCGAGGCGACGGTGTTGGTGAAGGCGTTCTCAATGTGCAGGGCCCGCGACAGGAAGTTGTTGAAGCAGGTCTCCACGGCCAGGGAGTTTTGGTACAGGAATAGACGGGCTTGACGGACCTGGGCCGTCAGGATATCTGTAGGGGTCGGGGAGGAGGTAGCGGAGGAGGTGGTGGGTGTGGCCGGGATGATGGACGACGAGACGGCGGCGGGCGTCGTGGGAGTGGGAATGTTTCTGGTGGTCGGAATCTCGTCCTCGTAGTCATCGTAGATGGGTTTCTTCTGAATAAGAAAGAAGAGAACAGAATATCGTCAGACTACCATTGCTGTGACTGCAGTCAAGTTCCATGACATGAGAAGGAAGGTCGTACCAGGTCCCGGGGCTCTTCTGCAAAGGCCGTGCGCCGGGGATAGAGAGCGACTCCTCCAGCCAAAAGAGAGGCGGCGAGGGGAGCCACAGCCCGCTGTTTTGAGGCGGTTAGTGAAGGGATTGGAGCTTATGAAGAATTGCATTTCGCACCTGTTGGAACATTGGCCGAAAAGACATGGTGCAGAGAGGCCAATGGAGGAGGGGATGGAGGAGGAGGAGGAAGGTCGGAGGGAAGTTGGATGGATGAAGTTCAGATCGGGAATGACGGGAGGTGAAGTTGCCAAGCGGGTTTTTTCGCTCTCCCGTCGCAGCGGCGGCTCGGCCACGCCTCCGTCATCCCCCGTTGATTTCCTTTCCCTTTCCTTTCCTTTTCCTTTCAGCCTCTCTCCTTCTTTCTCCGCTTCCCCTCCTCCTCCTCCTCCTCCTCCTCCTCCTTCTTCTCGGGCTCTTCCTTTCTCCACATACACCTCTTATCTCTGTCTGTCCCTCTCCCTCCCTCTCTCTCTCTCTCTCTCTCTCTCCTCTGCTCTATCTCTATTGCCGTCCACCACTCCTATCTCATTTTGATCATCATCATATTACCTGCTCGTTCTCCATGGTATAAGCCGATCCTGATGTCGGAACACCATTTACAAGCCACTCACTCGCCCTAATCCCCGCTGATCCCATCATGGGGTCGCCTCACATGCTCATGCCACTGCGGCAGCGTCAGTGGACTTGTCGCACGTGTTTGTCTCAGGCCCGACGCTCACTGAAGACGGCTGCCGCCCACCGTCCCGCTAGAGACTACACACCCACCACGAATCACCAGAAGCAAATCGAGGACGAGACTCTCCGTCGCATGTTCGATTCGCAGCCTTTCTGGCGGGAGTTCTCTCAGAGCGGTGCTGCCCAGTTGAAACCCACCGGGCTGGTTCAAAACCAATACCTCACCAGCCCAGATGGCTTCCGCGTCTTCGCTACTTCCACCCTGCAGAAATGCCAGGCGATCGTCACCAAAGTGCTCGCCGCCTCGACCTTGAAGGAATACCGGACCATGGCCCGTGATCTCGACCGACTCAGCGATCTGCTGTGTCGGGTGATCGACTTATCGGACTTTATCCGGGTTATTCACCCGGATCCGCAGGTGCAGGAGGCGGCCACGCAGGCATATGCGCTCATGTTTGAATACATGAACGTTCTAAACACGACCACGGGCTTGAATGATCAGCTGAAGAAGGCAGCTGCCAACCCGTGTGTCACGTCACATTGGTCGGAGGAGGAGAAGATTGTGGCGCAGATCCTTATCAAGGATTTCTCTAACTCAGCCATTCATATGCCTCCGAACGAGCGACAGCGGTTCGTCAACCTATCGACAGAGGTCAGCCAGCTAGGATCAGCCTTTGTCAATGGCGCCGAACCGGCCCGGGCTAAAGTGTATATCGAGGCCAACAACCTGCGCGGCTTGGACCCCCTGCTGGTGCACAAGATGAAGCGGTGGACGACTAGCGCCGTACCCGTGCCGACTATGGGTCTCATCCCGAGATTGGCGCTGCGATCGGTCAACATGGAGGACGCCCGCCGAGAGATCTACCTGGCTACGCGGACGTCGAGTCGGAATCAGATCCAGGTTTTGGAGAAGCTGCTCACGAAACGGGCGGAGCTCGCGCAGCTGTCCGGCTTCGAGAGCTTCGCACATATGACGCTCCATGACAAGATGGCCAAGAGTCCGGAAGCCGTGGCCAAGTTTCTGACGGCCCTTGTCGGCAGCAACCGTGAACTCGTCAAGGAGGAGCTCGCGAAGCTGCAACGCATGAAGGGCGCCAGTCCACTGCAACCGTGGGATCACGCGTATTATGTGCACCGACGGGTTCAGCAGTATTCAATATCGCCCCGGTCGCGGGAGCTGAACGCAGTACCCGAATTCTTCTCGCTGGGCACGGTGATGCAAGGCCTGTCTCGCCTATTTGAGCGACTGTATGGAGTACGGTTGGTGCCTCGGGAGACGGCTCCCGGTGAGACGTGGATGTCGGACGTCCGCCGCTTGGATGTGGTCGACGAGTCCGGCCGGCACCTTGCGGTCATTTACTGCGATCTATTTTCGCGGCCCAACAAGCATCCGAACCCGGCCCACTTCACCTTGCGGTGTGCGCGGGAGATCTCCGCCGCAGAGGTGGCCGAGTGCGCGGCAGTGCTGGACTCGTCGGCGCATCCCAACGACGGCATGGCGACGGAGATTGACTCGAAGAGCAAGACGCTCCGCCAGCTCCCCACAATCGCTCTAGTGTGCGACTTTCCCGAGCCCCCCGCGACGGGAGCGGGACGCCCGGCTCTGCTGACTGAGCACAGTGTGCGCACGCTGTTCCACGAAATGGGTCATGCGTTGCACTCCATTCTCGGGCAGACGCGATTGCAGTCCATCTCGGGAACGCGCTGCGCGACCGACTTTGCCGAGCTGCCCTCGGTGCTGATGGAGCATTTTGCCATGGCCCCGGAGGTGCTGTCGCTGTACGCCCGGCACTGGGAGACGGACACCCCGCTCTCGGAGAGCATGATGCGGAGCATGGCCAAAGAGCGGACTGCGCACGCCTCCGTCTATGGTGCTGTCGAGAACGAGGCCCAAATCCTCATGGCGCTCGTGGACCAGGCTTACCACACGCTGCCGGCGAACCGGCCGATTGACAGCACGGCACTCTACCATCAAGTGGCGACGACCCATTCCAGCCTGCCCGATCCCACGGACACGCTGCCGCTTACTTCGTGGCAGGGATTCTTCGGCCACTTGTATGGCTACGGGGCCACCTACTACAGCTACATCTTCGATCGGGCGATCGCCAATAAGATCTGGGAGGACGTGTTCCGCGGAGGCAAGGCGGCGGTGGAGCGAGACGCCGGCGAGCGGTACAAGAAGGAGGTGCTCCGCTGGGGTGGTGGACGCAACGGGTGGGAGTGCGTGGCTGGAGTCTTGGGCAGCCAGAACGCGGCCAACGCGGATGGGCGCTTGGTGGAGGGCGGCGACGAGGCGATGCGCGAAGTCGGCCGATGGGGGCTGGGGCGCGATGGAGTGTCTGGGTGAAGTATGTATATATATCAGGTCATCTGTATACTACGCTAGACGGACATGCATAGAGCTGGTGCTAAGGTTGAAGTCTCACAGGGCTCCCTTTTTTTTTTTTTTTTTCTCTTTCTTTTTTTGTTTTCACCCCGGCCAGGCGTAACGGTAGCACGGCAGCACGGCATTTAACGCCATGAGGACGTTGAACGGTCTGGGTCAGCACGGATGCTACTGTAGAAGAGGAGGTCTGCATGGATGGTAGCTTGAGGAGGGAAGAAGATTGGGGGAGGTAAGGAGGGTGAGTTTAATGAGATTCCTGGGAATGAGGGAGAAGGAGAGGGAGAGGGAGAGTTGAAGCTAGGGCTGCATGTCTCAGCATCAGCTGTAGACTAGCTGGAGACTACCAGTACTGCCATGCATGTACTTTTGGCTCTTATCTTTCCTCCTCCTCCTTCTCTCTAAGTAATAGTTACTATATAATCCGATCCAACCCGTCGTCCCATCCCATCAGTGAAAAGAATGTCCCCTTCTTCATGTACAGTATTGCACAACATTAATGCCTCTCTCTCTCCAATATGCCTCCCCTCAACCCTACCCTCACAACAACTTCAACCTCATCCACCCTCCCCCCTCCCTCCTCCATCACCCTGAACCACAACCACCCCTCCACCTCCACCTCCCATCCCGATAAGCACCTCACCCCAAAGAAGAATCCCACTCTCCTCCGCCGCAAATCCACCATCCACCACCTCCGCCACTGGCTCTCGCAACACCTTCCCAACCCTTCTTCTCCATCCCCATCCCCATCCCACCCCCCGAAACTCCTTTCCCGCTCCAAATCCCTAAGAAAACCAACCTACCATCGCTCCCCTCCGCCTCCTCTGCAATCCCAGAACCCCCAAGACCTACCACACAGCAAACCCAAACCCGAAACCGACACCGACACCTTCTCCACAAGCATCTCCACCAGCAGCTCAAGGTCATCCTCTCCGACCCCGTCCACGAAACACCTGAATGCAGAGTATGAGGCGTACTGCCGGGCGTTTTCGTCGGGGTTGACGGCCGAGAGCTACGCCTACACTAATGGATCTGCCCCGGTGAGGTATGGAGACAGTCGAGGGGATCAGGATCAGGATCAGCATTACCTCAATGCAGAAGCTGCTGCTGCTGCTGCTGCTGCTGCTGCTGCTGCACGCGCAGCAAAAGCAAATCCAGGCCTAGAGCCCACCACAACCGCAACCACAACCACAACCAGCACGGAGAAACAAACCCACCTCCACGCGCGAACAGGGTCACCGGGCAGAAATGCGGACGCAGACACGAACACGGAGACTGCATACGAAAATGCAAACGCAAACGCAAACGCAAACGCAAAAGCAGCCCAGATCCCAATCCCTGCTTACAGCAACAGCCACCACCAACCAAACGGGGAAGTTGCAGCAGCAGCAGCGCAGCCCACCCGCTCCACCACAACCACAACCAGAACCAGAAGAAAACGACCATGGCGAATCGACGAGATCCGTCGACCGGAGGACGTGCGGATGTTGTCGGGGGGGTATCAGCACCATCACCATCACCATCACCACCACCACCACCACCACCAAAACCAAGACCACGACCAAGACCCCCGGGCTCATCACCCGCAGGATCGACACGATCGTCAGGACTATAGGGATAGGGATAGCGATAGCGATAGCGATGCTGAGCCCGAGGGAGAGCCCAAGGGAGTAGATCATCCTCCCCACGATACCACCACCACCGCCACCACCACCACCACCACTGCCACTACAACCACCACCAACATAACCCCGAAGAACCATAACCACACCGGTACCCACATCAATAATGCCGATCAAAGAAAAGACATAGAAATGTCCTACAGCCACAACAACAACCACAACAACAGCTACCAAAACCCAGATACCAACAACGAAACGAATACCCTCAGTGCCAGCCCTCGCCCTCATATCACCACCGCAACTACCACCGCTACTAATACAAACATCACTAACGAAACCACCACCACCACCACCACCACAAAACCAACCCCAGAAGAACCCCTAGAACCAGCAGCACCCATCTTCCCCCCCACAACAATCCACCCAACCAACCCGACCACTCAAACCCAGGAAATCCTGCACTGGCTACGACACCGCTCCTCCCTCGACTCCCTCGACAGACAAGGCCAAGGCTTCGAGCAGCATCGCTACCTCCACGAAGGAGTCGACACAGACACCGACGCAGACACCGACGCAGATACACACACACATGCAGAGACACATGCTGCCGCTGCCCCTACCGCTGCCCCTGCCCACTGGCACCTCCATCCCCCCCGCCTCTCCCCGCCGCTCCGAGTCCTCACCCCGGCACGATATGAACAGCTCCGCAAACACACTATACAAAAACAACCACCCCGAAAACATTGGTGGGGGGCGGTGCAGAGCTATTGGGCGCGAATGCGGCCACGAAGCGAGGCGGCCAGGCGGGAGGCGAAGAGGGAAAAGCAGGAGGCCGACTGGTAAGAGACAGGAAAAAACCTACGGTGCAATTTTGGCCTTACAACCTCTGGCGTTGTCGTTGTGTGTCACCCGCACGGCAAACAAGAAAAAAAAACAAAAAAAAAGTCCAATCCAGTCGGGAATGAAATCGCCGGGTGTGGATGGCTTTTTTGCCTGCTGCTTTTTCCTGTGCAACCACACTTACACGTCCAATGGGATCCCCTGGAGAGGGGCATTGTAGAACAAAAAGAGTCACAAGAAAGAAAGCGGAGAACAGGGGTATCCTGAGTATTCTATTACATACAGCCTAGGCCAATACAACAATAATGAAAATTCCTCTTCGGGACATCATACGACAAAGGAAATAGGGTCATCCTCCCCCGAGCCCAGAGTCTTCTCTCCCCGTTCACGAGGATCCTTCCTCAATCCCTTGCTCGTCCGAGCTGCTGCTCGAGCCGTTCGCCTTCTCGGGTTGCGGTGTCGTCGACTGGCTCGGAGGGTTGGGCGTCGCCCGACGAGACAACTCGGCCAATTCGCCAAGGATTCTGAGACAAGTCTGGTCAGCAGGTGCATCGGCCAAGTATGGGAAGAAAATCTTACCGTCGGTGCTCGTCATACCAATCATCATTAGTGGTACGGATGTGTTTAAGCTGCTCTTGGATGCTGGCCATCTATACATGCCAAAAAAACCAATCAGTCACTCCATGTCGGTACATACATTGGGAACGGGCGTAGTCATGTGAAAGGGTGGAAATGGGGCAGTCCCGTAGGAGAGGGTGATGACGACAAACGGGGAGATCCCACCGTTCCCTGAATAGATGAACCAAGGTCCTCACCTTCGACTGCGGTGGAACCACCGTCTTCTCTGGCAAGGGTCTCTCCAGCCCACCGGCTGCCGTCCAGGCCAACCGACGAGCCCTTGGCACTGTCCCTCTCGGCCTTCAGCGCCGCCACTTCCGCCTCCAATTCCCGCGTGCGCTTGCGGCTGGCCGAGATCATCGAGTCGACTTCTCCCAGCTGGTTGAGGAGCGACATGTTCTTGTCAATCTGGCTGTTCAGGTCTCGTTCACCTTGAAGGACGCGTTCTTCCATGCTCCGGTTCTGCGAGCGGAACTGCTCGAGCTCGCCCGTCAGAGTCTCGTGCTGGCTTTTGAGTTGCGACAGTTCGTAGTTGGATGCGGCGAGCTGTTGCAGGACCGCCTCCAGCTCCGTCCTTGCGCTCTGCGAAGCAACCAAGGTCTTCTCGAGCTCTTCGGCCCGCGCCGACACGGCTTGGTGCTTCTCTTCCAACTCGTGTTTCTCGGCCTCGACCTTGGAAAGATCGGCGCTGTGCTTGCTAGCGAGCTCACCACTCACCGCAGCAGACCGCTCGGCCTCCGTCAGTTGGTTCTGAAGGTCGGCAATGGTCAGCTTCAGGCTCTCCAGAAGAGAGGCGTCTTGGGCAGCAGCTTGAGCCTCCACGAGCTGAGCGTGAACTTCCGCCAGGGTCGCGTCGTGCGCATTCTGTAGCTCTTCAATCTTAGCCCGGTTCGTGGACTCGAGGTCAGCACGGAGGTTGGAAAGCTTCTCCTCCTGGATCGTCAGGAGCTGCTCAATCGCCTTGCTATGCTCTGCATCCGATTCAGCAGCCTTGGAGGCCTGGCTGGCCTGCAGCTCGGCCTGGAGTTCTTTGTGGGTTTCCTCGTGCTGCTTCTGGAGCTCCGCGATTTCCTGGGCGCGAACCTCAGCCTGGGAGGTGATCTCGTTGGCATGGCGCTGAAGGGCCGTGTTGAGCTCGGCCTGGAGAGCTTCCATCTGCTGGGCGTGTCTGAATTCCAGGTCACGCAGAAGAGCCACGGATTCCTCATATTTGGCTTGGAGCTCACCGAGTGCCTGCTCCTGGTTTCCAGAAACGTCCGTCCGAGCCTTTTCAAGTTCGACAGCATGTTTAGCTCGGATAGATTCGAGGGTCTGCGCATGTTGTTCGGCAACAGCAGCGGCCTCTTTGGCCTTATCTTCCAGCTCTTTGCCGGCAGCGATAGCAGCTTCCTCCAAAGACTTCAACTGGCTCTGCTGCTGGGCATCCTTAGCCTTGGTCTTGTCCTCGAAAGCGTCCAGGCTCTGCTGAAGGGCCTCAGCCTGTCCCTGCTTGGTTTGAATCGCATCCTGGAGGGACTTGATCTCACCCTGGCCGGTGGACAGCTGCGATTCGAGGGCACCGACCTTCTCCTTGAGAGACTCGATTTCCTGGATCGCTAGGTCCTGAGCCGAGTTCGCACCATCATCCAAAGCCTGTCGGACCTCAGTGAGATTCTGCTCCGTGGCCTCCAACCGTTGCCGGAGGGCATTCAACTCAGCCTGATGCGCAGCATCGAGTTCGGCGAGCAATTCCTCGCGGTCCTCCTGCGCCGCTGCAGTGGAGGCTTCGTAGGCGGCTTCAGATGCCTGAAGTTTGTCCCGGAGCTCCTGAAGTTCCTGAGAGTGGGTGGTGCCGGCGGACTCGACCGCCTCCTTGGCAGCAGCAAGCTCTTGTGCATGGGCAGCAGCAGCAGAAGCGAGCGCTTCCTCGTGCTTCGCCTTCAGTTCAGCGATGGTGGCAGCATGAGAGGAGATGGTCTCCTCATGTTCAGATTGAACTTTAGCGACTGCAGCCTCGTGAACGGCTTCGAGCTCCTTGGCTTTCTCACCCATGTCGGTCTCCGTGGCGCTGCGCGCCTCAGAAAGTTCGGCCTGCACCTTCTCGAGTGCTTCTTGATGCTCGAGTTGGAGCTTGGCGACTGCGGCCTCGTGAGCAGCAGTGAGCTCTTTCGTTCTCTCGCTCAAGCTAGTCTCGGTGTCGTTGCGCGCCTGCTGAAGCTCGGCCTGGACCTTATCGAGGGTCTCTTGATGCTCAGACTTAAGCCTAGCAACCGCAGTCTCGTGTGCGATCTCGAGCTCCTTAACCTTTTCTCCCAGGCCGGACTCGGTGTCATTCCGTGCTTGATCAAGCTCAGCCTGCACCTTCAGAAGAGTTTCTTGATGTTCGGACTGGAGCTTGGCGATCGTAGCCTCGTGGGCAGCCTCAAGCTCCTTGGACTTTTCGCCCAAGCCGGCCTCGGCTTCCTCGCGTGCCTTCTGGAGTTCGGCCCGCACCTCTTTGAGAGTTTCTTCATGCTCGAGCTGGAGCTGGTTGATGACGGCCTGGTGTTGAGCTTCAAGCTCTTTGGCCTTCTCCCCCAAGCCGATCTCGGTAGCGTCGCGTGCCTGCTGCAGCTCAACCTGCGTCTTTTCCAGAATCTCTTGATGCTCAGAGTGAAGTTTGGCAGTTGCGGCCTCGTGAGCTGCTTCAAGCTCCTTGATCTTTTCGGCTAGTGCAATCTCCACAGACTCGCGGGCTTGTTCAAGTTCACCCTGAGCTTTGGTGAGGGCTTCCTTCAGGTCGGCGATTTCTTGATCCTTCTCAGCCAGACGGGCAGCCGTCTCCTCGCCATTTTGGTCAGTGACAGATCCAGCTTCAGCCAGCTTGGTTTCGAGCGAAGCAACCTTGTCCTCCAGGGCAGTAATGGTTTGCTTGGCAGCCTCCTCAGCCGCCCGAGCCTCTTGTTGCTTGGCATGGTTTAGGCGATCCATCTCCATGTGCAAGGTTTCCACCACTTGGTCACGACCGTTCAATTCTCGCTGAAGATCATCAAGTTTGGTGGCCTTGGCTTCCAAGGCTTGGATGACCTCCGCGTATTGGCTCTTCTGCAACTCCAGCTCGGCCTTCAAGGTATCGAGTTGCTCGGCGTATCCAGCAGCCGCAGCCTTTTGCAATTCCAGCTCCTTCTCAATCGCTTCCAATTGAGCCTGATGAGTCTGCTTCAGTTCTTCCAAGGCACCAGCAGTCTCATCGTCTCCGGCGGCGGCAGCTTGCTGGGCCGCCTCCTCTAGATCTTTCAGAGACTTTTCCTCGAGCTCCTTGTGCTTGATCTCTGCTTCTTCGAGCTGGTCCCGCAGGGCCTGCAGCTGCTCCTCATGCGTGGCTGTCAACTTCTCGATCTCCGCCGTATGTTGTTCTCGGAGCGCTTTGGTGGCCTCGTCAAGATCCTGGGTGGCAGTCTCGTTCGGAGCCAACGATAATTCGGTCAATTTGATGTTGACCGTGTCCAGATCTGCCTTGAGTTTAGACACCGTGGCTTCACTCTCTGACAGCTGATTTTGCAGGGATTGGATTTTCTCCGCATCCTCTCCGGCACTCTT